ATCGTATAGTACAGTGGCAAGGTGAGATGAACACCATACTTTTGGGGAAACTGATTTGTCTTTTGGACATTTGTCTAATGTTTAAATTTTCTTGCTCAGTGAAATAACATGCAGCAAAAGGAATGGGCCTTTGGTTGTGTTGAGAGGGCTTTTCTTTTTTTTCCAGGACTGATCTGTGAAGGACTTTTGAATCACTGATATTGTGAATGCACAATGATGTCCCAATGCTAAAATTTTGCTCAGTCTGTGCTGTTGTGGTTTGTGTCTCTGTGACTCATGTTTCTACATTGGTCAGTTTGGGTTATGGTTCCTTAAAAATCTAAATGAAAACCAAGTTTCTGATATGATACAAAAGCCAACTGGGATAGACTCCAGCCCCCCGCGACCCTAGTGAGGATTAAGCGGTGTATAGATAATGGATGGATGTATTATCTGTGGATAAACCTTTACCATGATACAGGAAAAAAGTTTGCATGGCAGGACTGACCTAATAATGGACCTTAGGCCAAAAAATGTGCCTTTGGGTCGCTGTTGATCCAATCATCACGCACGGCTCACCTATTGTGCTGTGTTTGTACTTTCCAGGTTGCTATCAAATACAGTCTACAGACCAAAATACAGCTTTGTCTCTGTCATTATATGACCAAGAAGCTCCCATCAGTACCTCTGCTCAGATAGTACTGTCTCATCTAGCTATAATTTTATTAAACACACATTTATTACAGGAATAAGTCACGAGCATTTGATTGAAAATGAAATAATAAAGATCTTAAAACTAGGGTTTAACACAGAGCCCCTCAACATGACAGAGTCACTGGATTCTAAGCCTGTCGAGACTCATTATGTATTTAGATGGTTCAAACTTCCAGACAAATTTGCCAACAACAAACTGATATACAGTGAAAGTGAGGCTTCCAGTAATATTTTTTTAATCAGGTTTGCTAATTAATTTTGTAGAGTATAGCAATAAGTATCCCCAAATATTAATTTGATCTCAATAGCCAGAGCCAAGTGATAGTAGGCAAAAGAGGAAGAAGAAAAAGAGGAAGTGAAGCTAGAAAAACTGATTGCAACTAAAATTAGGCAAAAACAAAAAAACACACATCTCTAAAGTGTGCCCACAGTTTCCTATACAGACTGTACATTGCTGTGTGTGTGTGTGTGTGTGTGTGTGTGTGTGTGTGTGTGTGTGTGTGTGTGTGTGTGTGTAATGCGTCAGTTATCCTTTCTTTTATATGAACTGTTGATAAGTTGATATTTGTATGGTTTATTGTCAGTAAAGGACTGCTATTCTTGTTTATTACTGGAGAAATTCCTTTAAAACTTTAAAAGTATCCTTTTATGGAGTAGTTTTTTACTCCATTAAATTTTTTTATGGCATAATAACACACATGATCCAAAACATGATCCCACGAAGAAATGTGCAGAGTTTACACAAGTCAGCGCCTAATTAAGTTGCACAAAAGCATTTGCAGTAAAACTCAGAAAATAAAATGTATATGCAAAGTAGCAAAAATAACAGGTACATTTTATTTCTGCTTTCTAAATTTTCAGTGTACATTTTTTTTGTTTGTTTATTTGTTTTTTGTTTTTTTTTTACAATATGTCCCTTTAAATTGGGCCTATTAATTAAGGTTATGACATTCCCACCTGTGTTCTTTCTGGATTATTTAGACCAGATGAAACATTTTTTTAAAAACTTACAAATGGTGTGTGTGTTTCTATAACCTGGCAATTTTGCTGTTAACTATTTATAGTTAACACAACCCAAAAGACAATTAACTCAGTTTGTGGTAACACAGTAGCATACCAGAGGCCTCCTGTGCTAATTTTCTGTATTTTTATTAGACTATATTTTGCCAACAGTGCAATCTGTGGGTGGCTATAATATATCTTAATGCTGGCTTCCTGTCTACAGAAGATAGGTGGACAGGGTAGTCATAATTTTTTAGTTTTTATATTTTATTCTATTTTCTAAATTTCCCAGGTAACACTATCTATCCAAAGTAACTATATATTTCAATGCATTATTTTTTATGAAGATTTTGTTGTTCTTTTTCTGTTTTGTCTGGATTACTTGAGCCACCTAAAGTTTGAAAGGCCTTATAAATAGTGTGTGTGAGCAGCACCTGTTTGGTTTCAGCAGCCACAAATGGAATGCTGCGCTCCAACTCCTTATTTGGTCATATTGAGCCTCAAAGGGAAGTTGGTGTCACTTTTATTATTGTCCTACGTGTAGGACATGGGTTCCTAGTCTTTTTTAAATCGGCAATTACAGACATGAAACACCCTGTAAAAAAACAGAAACATACTATTTATGTTGATCTGAATATATACTTAGTTGCAGGGCTTTTATTTTAACGCTCAAAGGATTGTGTGCTTATTTGAAACCGTCCTGGGTTTTTGTTTTCTGCCGGCGTCGGTCCGTCTGCGGTCCTTCTGTTTCCGTGTCTGGGAGGAGAGCAGCGGTGTGATTTCAGACACTCTCTCGTCTTTCACAATGCAGGTTGGTAAAACGTTAATGTTTTTAAAGCTGTGGTTCAACATTATTAAGTGAGACGATTTAACATCGGTTGTTGTCGCTGTAACGAGTTGACGTGATTTTAAGACAGAGTTTTGATCGTTAGCTAGCGGTGTGGCTGGGCGTAGCAACAGCCTGAATGCTAGCTTCACTGTTTGCTAGCTAGCTGGGTGTTTAAAACCGGAAAACCCTTAAAATAGACAGAAAAAATTAAGCTGACGTGGAATTAGGTGGAAATGGAGTCGAAACGATTTGTGATAAATTGTTTAATTGATAAATGAAAATTTAGGCTACAACTATTTTGATAAGACATCCATTCAGACGAACGGTTAACAAGAGCTAGTAAGACATTATAGAAAAGTGGTCGGAGTAAAAATGTTCTATTCTCTTCTTGACTTGGTTAAAGAAAGAAAATTGCACTTATATCAAAGCAGGTCCTCTTAAGTGCCTAAAACCAGTAACTTTTCAGCATTATTACATATTAGCTAACCTTTTAACATGTCTTTACCAAGTTGTTTTTTTGTCGCCTCCTCAGCACCACAGGTAGTTACAGCAATAGTTGGTACAAAACGAATTTTATCCGTTAAAATGATTTGTGAAAATGTTATTTAGGATTAGAGACACAGAAACTATTTTGGGCTAGTGGAGGTCTGATGAGCTCTAATAGTTAAACTGAGCCTTCCTTAGTCCAGCTCATGCCTACATTACCCACATTGTAGGTGAAGTAGAGTTCAACTACAACTTTACAGGAAGATTTGTGAGTCTAAGTGTTGTCACAATGGGAAAAAAACACCTTGGGCTGTAGTTTTAAGTCAGCAATTTAAAAAAAAAAAAAGACCAAGAGTAAATGTATAATCTATTTGTTGTAATACATAATTATCCTGCAGCCCTCATGCAGTCACTTTCTGTACTTCGTAACGAGATCTTAGCTATTGTATGTCTGTATAGAAGTGTTTAAGTAGGCGGTCTCTGTCCAGTGGTGGTTCACCTATAACTTATTATTCAAAACTGACATCTTGTCGACAGATGATGAGGTGTTAGCATCGCTCCACTGGATTTCACTGGTCACTGTTGAGCTTTTAAAATTTGCTTGGTGTTGTTTTCATGGGCAAAGCACGCCAAACAATTCTTTTTCTAGACTGTCTAAGTCCTAAAGAAGGTTTAGAGAGAGTTTTATATGTGTGGCAATTAGACTCACATACTTACTTTCATATATTTGTTGCTTAAACAAATGCAAAACTCATCCAGGTCCACAGTTTGCACATCCTGTCTTCCACCACGACTCATTCCCAGGTGATGTGTTGGACCGAGTAAACTTGTGGAAAGAATTTCTTTAATACAAATGCTAGAAAATCAACCCCTGGCCTTAGTAATCTGGTACTGATCTTCCAAAGCCAATCAGTTTCAGTTTTAAGAGTTGCATTTCACTTGTCCACATAAAAGCGAGAAGTTCTTCACATACCAGAGCTTAAAGAAACCAGAGTAACAATACTTGTACACATGCTTTTATTTTCTGGCTAGGACCCAAATGAAGACACAGAGTGGAATGATATCCTGAGGAAGAAAGGTATTCTTCCTCCCAAAGAGGAACCTAAAGATGACGAAGAGGAGGAACTGGCTCTTCAACAACAGTCCGTTGGTAAGGGAGACAGTTTGGGATAAATACAAGTGTTTCTTTGTGGTTTTTATGGATAAAACATGGCTTAAATTGTCACCTAAATCGCTTTAGGACATCTTTTTTTTTTCTTTGTTCTTTGCATATGTACCAAATCAAACACATGTACATTATTTAAACATTATAATTCATATTTTAGCTGTTCAGTGTCGGTTAAATTGACCCTGTTCAACTGTTAACTGAGTATTGGATTGTTTGCCGTACATGTAATCAGCTGCTAACTGTTTGTTTGAATAGTTAAAACATATGAGAGCATGACACTGGAAGAACTGGAGGAGAATGAGGATGAGTTCAGTGAGGACGACGAGGCTGCCATTGAAATGTACAGGTAAGTGCAGATCTGTGTGAAGAGCTTTTAAGAAAAAATTACATTTGTCTTAAAGTCACCGCGGAGGATTGTACATGTCAAAAACCTGGAGAATTCAGTCTAAAATAATGGTTTGAGGGAAATTTTAGGTCACAAAGATACTCTCTGGCTAAAACTGTCATTGTTGATGGAGATTATCTGTTCAGTCCGTCAGCTGATATAAACTGCGTCTCCTTCCAGACAGAAGCGTCTTGCAGAGTGGAAGGCGACTCAGATGAAGAACATTTTTGGGGAATTGGATGAAATCTCTGGTCAGGACTACGTCAAGGAGGTCAACAAGGCTGGAGACGGCATCTGGGTGATACTGCACCTCTACAAACAGGGGTAGGTCAAGCAGCAGCATCGAGTGTTTTGAGCGACACAAAAATGCAGTGGAAATATTTTTACTGTCTCAAAGAACAGAAAATATGTTCTGTGTGTCATTTTTGGGATCCGTGTATCAGCCAATAATCTCACTAAAGATCACATACATGTACACATGTTCTGTGTTACAGTAGGTTGTGTTTTCTTGCATTTTATGAAACCCTTTGAGCTCAACACTGCTGTTGAGCCCTTTGGATATGTCAGGGTCAGAACAGATTGTGATGATCTGTTTAACCAGTTTTATTTGTTGCAGCTTTTTCAATGTTAGTATACAAAAATGTAAACTTGTCTACCCTAAAATTTGTTTTTTATTTCATGTGAAAAGAAGTTAGAAGGAAAATTTAGTGTTGAGCACTTTATAGCAGGATGTGAGTCAGTTAGCTTGGAAGATTCACTACTGCTTTCTGACGTGTTCAAAAGTCAATTCTTGGATTAGTTTAAAGACACGACATTGTTTTGGAAGTCTGTTATTTGTTAAAGAAATGTATCAAGCAAAAATATCAGTGTTCTCTGGTTCCAGCTGCTTTTGTTGGTGTGTATATTATTATTTGTACACAGTGTTTTGAAGTGTTTGTCAGATAAAATAATCAATTTAAAGAGATTATCTTGGTCTCTGGTAATCGGTGATCAATCAGCACATTGACAGAGCAAACAAATTCATTAGCGAAGCAAAACACATGTAACAATAATGGTTTCACATTACACGTGAGCTTCCGGTTCGTGGGTGAACGTTCTGTTCCTGTCTGACCTTTGTGGTGCTTTTAAACTGAAAGCCTTTCCTACTAAGTTACCGTCTTTTCTTTCCGTGAAAAATTACGTTTCTTTCAAAACACATGTAAGAAAGCATGAGAAACCACATGGCTGCATGACTATGACACTTTATGTACATATGTTTTTAAAATCCATCTTTGCACAGCCTAATTTTGCACACTTATCTTATTTTTATTTTATATTTTATATTGTGTTTTATATTTTATGTGTGCCTTCAGTGTCGGGTGTCTTGTGCGGTTTGTGTGTTTTTTTTTTTTTTATGTAGCTGCTGTAACAAGTCATTTCCTGTAAAAAGATCAATAAAGTAACTATCCTATCCTAGTTGTGTAGGAGTGTCAGGGTTGGATTTTCAAACAGAAGGCTCAGCACTAACAGGTCTGTCAATTATTTTCTTTACAGCATCCCTCTGTGTAGTCTGATCAACCAGCATCTGAGCACGTTGGCCAGAAAGTTCCCTCAGACCAAGTTCCTCAAGTCCATCTCCACCACCTGCATCCCCAACTACCCGGACCGCAACCTGCCCACCATCTTCGTCTACTTTGAAGGGGAGATGAAGGCCCAGTTCATCGGCCCACTGGTCTTTGGAGGCATGAACCTCAAAGTTGAAGGTACGAGACGACTTGCTGGCTTTAAAAAAAAAAAAACTACACGACTGGAAACTGGCAGGCTTTTATTACTTTAAAGAGCTAAATGTCAGACTTTCAAACTAACACAACGATGTTGCAGGATTATTTTTGACATTTGAACTCAGTTTAGTGTTGCATTTTATTCTTTCAGTTGTTGCAATTTAGGTTGGAAAATTTGGACGAATGCATTTTGTTAGTCTAATTTTATTCATACATTTTCAAATGTTGACAAGTTGAGCCGTTTTATTGAATCCTTATGGTAAAATTTCATCAACACTTTAATATTTAGTTTTTCTGGGTAGTATTTTAAAGATGTGTTGATTTTCTTCATATTTTACACTGTATTATTTACATTCTGTACATTTTTATTATATTTTATGAGGACATCTTTTGTAATTTGCCTCGTGTGTTTCCCTCCAGAGCTGGAGTGGAGGTTATCAGAAACTGGTGCGGTGAAAACAGACCTGGAGGAAAACCCCAAGAAACAAATCGAAGACAAGCTCATGTCATCAATCAGAAGTACACTCCCTACACGAAAGGACAGTGACTCTGAGGACGAGGACTATTAAAGACAAACACTGTCACTCCAAAGAGAGAGACCACGTGGCCGCTACACGGGAAACAAAACACTCAGACGACCTTAAACCATCCGAGGAGGTACAGAGAGGGGACAGCATCTCCTTTAACAACATGTGCATTTTGTATTTTAACCATGTAGGTGGCGCTCAGGGCTCCGTCCTGCTCAAGGGCACATGGACAGGCGGCTCGGCTGGAGAGAGCCAAGCAGCCTCCTGTACGTTTCCGTAGGAAAGTAGGGAAAAAAAACAGCAGAACACTCACTGTTTTGTCATTTTAAATTCACCTACATCGCCTGAATCTTTACAAAAGCATCAAAGACAAATTTTAAAGTTTTTTTTTTTATTATGTTTCATGAGAATTATGTCACAAAATGTACATGTACATTTAATTTTTGTTGAATTAAATGTGAGTTCACCTCTTTGCCACAGTAACCAGTGCCAATTATTTTCATTTTTTTATATGCAGATCTGTGTCACTGCTGATTACAAAGGAGTTCATTTTAAGTGTTTCTTTATATCTTGTGACACACGTCTAGTGTAGAGGTGCAACACGCCAAGTTTGTGCTCAGAAACAGTTCAGTGACATTTGGAAGCAACAAGACACGTGGCAGCCATGGCAGTGCAGTTCAGTATTTGCCATCCATACAATCATTTATTTTCTATGAACAGAAAGTTAATGTGGAGAGTCGTGTTGGAGATGCTGTGCGTTGCTGTCTGTTGATGTTGATGGTGAAGTCCAGAGGCGGAGCTGCCAACTGCTCTTCTTCTGTGTATTTTCCTCCGTTTAGTGTTTTTTTTTTTATTTTTTTAGGTTTTTCTTTTACAACAGCCCCTCCGGCAGACTTCGAATCTTCTGTTTAATTAGCAAGAAGAGACAGAGAAGGAGAAAAGTCAGTGTCGGCAGTAAATCGAAGCTGAACAGTGATGTGATTAGAAGTGATTTACGCCGGCTCCCTCTAAATCATGACTTCTTTGCTGCCTGACAAGGAAGCTTTCTGAAAAGGTTAAGGCTTTTTTTTTTTGGCAGAAGACAAATAGTGGAAAGTTAGTTTTTTGTTTCTGTCTTTCAAGCTCTGCAGAAGTTTTTCTGGCTCAGAAGGTTCCTCTGAGGAGTGACAGCACATGACAAAAAACTGTGTTTCACGTACGGTGAAGACAGTGAGTCTGTATTACCTTATGTGTCATTAATCTGTCCATTTTTTCCTCTTAATTCTGACAACTTGATAAACAAATGTGTCTTGCATGTTTGAAGAAAGAAACCACGGTTAGAAAAACTGGTTAAAAAGTTGAGCTGTATCTTCTATTCTCAATTCTGATCTTTTTGGTGGTGGTGATTTTACCTTAAATCCTCTTTTAAGGTGCCAAAAATGAATTCATGAAGGAAAACTTTGTGGGTTGTGTGATGATTGACTAATGATGGGCTACTAATGATCTGTTAAAGGATACTTCGGCATTTTACACCCCAAAATTGCACCAGTTTAGTTATATGGATTAAAAGGGGGCGTTTAGAGGTTCTGGTCCATGCATTTGGTTATATACGAACAAAATGGGCCTGTAAGTAAAAGCTAAGATAACTTTTTTTCATATTTAAATAACAAGCAAGAGAGAGGAATTATCATCATATCTACACAACTCCTGGCAAGAAAGTGAATACGTGTATTTCCCAAAACATTGAACTGTTCCTTTAAATGCTGGCTTATTTCAACTCTTCAGGTGTTTAACACATAGAAAGATGAACCAAACTGAGCAAACTGAAACTCATTCCTGGTCAACCTGCTCAAAACTCAGACAAATCAACATTAATCCTGTGACTCACAAGCAGATGCTTCTTCAAATTCCACCAGCCACAACGTTTTGTAGCTAATCTTCTACAACATGCAAACCTCAGCTACTTAAAAATAAGAGTTGCCTGCAGTACTGTTCCAGTGCTTATTTTCTGTACCGTCCTCTCCCTGATGTATTTCCACATCCACGTGGGTGTCGTAATCCCATAAAAACTCCAGCTGTACATCCTGATCTTCTAAAAACGTACAGTTCAGGACTTAATGAGTTTATGTTTCTGAGGTTTTCTCACCAGAAGTAACACCTTCTTCTTTCTCCTCTGCGAAAGTTTGGGTGAAAGTCGCATCAGAGGGTGAACTGAGTGAGACTGCGAAGAGAAAAGAGGAATTAGTACCATGATAATTCACTGATCGATGGAGTGATTTATCACTTTTGAGGCCGTTTAGACCAACAACGGCACTGATAGACTATTACTGTTATAACTGTGAACTTATTTTTGATGATGTAGCTCAACAGAGAAGAGCTGCAGAATGCACAGAAGGTCAACTAATTGAATCAGAATGTAAAATAGTTACGTCACTCTTTTAATTATTTTAAGTTGTATTAATCACCTGCTGTGGTGCAGTAAAGTAACAGCACTCAGCCTCCACTCTAACGCTTACAGAACTGACTCCAGTTCTTTCAGACCTGAAATAAAGTCTGGCTTTGGTTCATTCTCCATTTTTAGAGACTTGATCTCTTCAGCTTCTTTTCTCACTTCAGCATTTAAAGAAGTCTGACTTTAATCTTTGTAAATCTGCCCGTAGGCTTCCAGCAGATGTTTCACATGCTCCGTTTCCATCCATGCTGGAAGCTTGGTGGAATCAGTGACATTAAATTAAAGCAGTAACTCTTAAAAACGACATCGGCGGTGCTTCGTTTGCTCACCTCTTGCTGCACGGCTCCAACAGAGTTGCGAGCTTTGGAGTAATGAAATAAGAACTGAAAAACAAAGAACAATTCTACAATCAATACGCTGCTGGTGAACAAACATCTGAAGAAAGTCAACTGAACACAACTGGGGAGGAAAACGTACTCTTTTGAAGACATTCTGGACTTGCTCCTGCGGGAAAACACAGTTTAACAACAGAAGTTAATGAGTATCAATCACATGTTGTGTTATTATAGTTTGAATATTTATAATTATGACTCCATCATCCAGTTACTGTAGTGCTTTTAAGGCTTCATTGTAGATGGACACATCGACAGCGACTCCCACAAAATCTAAGAAGCCAGTTACTGATTTCATTTCTGAGATGCTTGTTTTGGTTGTGTTGTGTCTCTGTTGTTCCTGCACTCAAGATTTTACCAAGAGCTTTAAAACTGGTTGCAAAACACAAACACAGTCTAGTTTTTCACATAAACAATCCGTTTCATTCATGTCTCCTCTCTGGCATTTACATTTCTCCCCTTTTTGTTTCTTTTCATATGCTTCTACTGGAACACCGACACAGTATATATGCTTTAAATTGTAGATATAAGTTGTGGGTGAATACTTGTATCGATGCTGTTGCACTAAATTTCCTTTCATTTTAATTTTTTTAATGTAGCTTTTCCTGATATTTTAAGACAAGTATATTTCACATAGGGGGAATGTGGAGACAGAACCAGTGGCAGAGTCACACCCTGCTTTGTGGTTCCTATTAGCAGAATACAAGAACATCTTTTTGAACAAATCCGTTTCTACAAGCTGTAAAATTGATTAATAACAAATGAAATGCGTAAAGAGCACCTCACCTGCCTGAAAACTGCTCTGTTTACATTATATTATAACACCTAATCCTCATATGTGTCATAAACAAAATCAGCAGACTCTAAGGCTGATGGGAAATGTGGTTCTTCATATTTTGCACAGTAGCGCTGCTTTAAACAATCATCTGCATCCATCTTAGTCTCAGGAATTACATCAAGATGTCACAGGTAATTTAGAATATGTTAAATCTTTAAAACAAACGCATATATTACAGATAAAATGATGTATCTTTGAAGTGTTCTTGGTGTTTTCTTACCTCATTCTGGTCTCTCCACAACACTCCACTCAGATCATCATTCTGGACGCCTCGCACCTGCAGACAAACCGCAGCCTTATTTATGAATGAGTCCTGAACAGTGTATACAACATGATCACTCAGTCTGAACACCGGCCACTGATGTTATTTCCCTACAAATACACCACGTTTCTGGACAGTGTTTAGTTTCAGTTCAGAGCTGCTGTGTGATGTTTCCACCTTCACATATTATTCTCTGTAGCGATGATCACATACGAGCCAGAAGGTTTCGTTCAGCCGCTGAGCTGTTAAAGCTGCACTAACACCGTTCATTAATAGTGATTTAAGCGACTGACACATTGAGGACTCTTTTACTGCTCTTCTGTTTCCTTTACAACCTCATAACAACATTTACGTCTTCATTCACAACCTTTACTTAACATTAAATGGCTCTAACATCGCATGTGGAAGGGGGACTCAAGGAAGAGACGCTTGATGATTTGAGTGCGGATGAATGTAAATGAAGACATTTCCTACCTTTCGTAACGCTACGCCGTCTTCCCACTGATCGTAAGGACTGGCATCTGGACAAAGAGCGTATGTGAGGAAGGACGTTAATATTTCATGATTTTTTTTTTTATACTGTTGCAGCATCTCAAGTTGCTTTGACAAATAACTGATTAGGAGAATTCACTCTAACATGGTGCAGTAATTATGTAGTTGGTTTTTGGTCCATAACAATGATTTTAAAGGGATTTCATTGCACTTTACTATCCTTGTATGTGCTGTAATGACAAAATCTTTCCAAAACAACCTCCTCAGTGTGTATTTAAGGGTATATTTGATGCGATTTGTCAACATGATTCAGCCTACAGGTATGAGCATTCTGCACCACAACATCTTTACACTCTTAAACAACCGTCTCAAATCCAAAATGGGCTCATGATCTGGATATAAGGCTGCGTTTTTTAGGAAGTCTCTCACTTTCTAACCTTAAACAGTCTCTTTGAATCGTTTTGTTTGACTGAAAGTTCTCACCTGTTGCTGAAATACTTTTCAGTCATGCATTACCGCACTACCTGTCAATCATTTTTTCAGATTTTATTTATTTATTTACTTTTTAAGTCAACTTTTTTTTAGGGCAGAGTTCAATATCTCATGCTACAGTCAATGAATTGTTCCTTCAAATGGAGGACTTGCAACAGAATATAGTTTATGTTGATGTTTTTCCACCTTTAATCAGTTTGTAACGTTTAAAATTATTTGGAGGTTTACCCCCCAGCATACAAGTTGACAGCTAACCTCCACTTAAACAAACCTCAGAGCATCCGGATTAGAATAAAACTGTGAATCATGCACTAAAACTCACACCTGCAGGCTTAATGTCTCGCTGGAGTGAGAAACCTGTGACCTTTTGCTGAGAGGCTGCAACAGCTCAAATAGTGGCGACATGTAAGAAAGTCTCTAATTAAGATGTGTTAATGAGCTTCTTACTTTACGGTTGGTGACCCTGCAGAAAATTATGTATGACAGGAACAGTGTTTGAAGAGCACCTTTAGTCCAGTCCATGCTTTGGATGAATCATAATCCATCCATGAAGTGCAATAAAAACAAATCTGCAGCAGTTTATGTTAATAAATTGTGGATAAACTGATTTTCAGCAGATAAGCGTCCACTGGAGGAGAAGTCGAATGAATAAACGACAAGTTACTGCCTCCCTTCAAACCATTTTTCAAAACCCTAATTGATCCTATTTATTGTTGGTTTTTTTTAACAGATTTATAAAACATCTATGGAAGATTTAATAAAGGATCATTTAAGAAGTTACAAACTAAGAACTAGGATGTGGTACAGTTGTAGGTTTGATATGTGCATTTTTAGATATTTTTAGAAATATTTTACATTTTCCAATACTGACATTTTTAGTGTAAGCCTCAGAAGGTGTAGCTTTTTATTAAAGCTTTTTATTCTTAAATGTGTCTTGTTCAGAGTGTTTCATCTCCTGACATCACAGTGACACACTAGAGATGAATTTAAAAAAAAAAAACAAAAAAAAACAGAAAGCTGTAATCTTTAACCAAAGCCAATAAAACCCACATTAAATCTCTAATTAGTGGGTTTTTTGTTGACATAATTTTCATTTATAAAGCCACAGTATTTAAATCATAATGATCCAAACTCAAAATTCTTCCCCTTTTTACTACATTTGAAACTTTTACAACAATAAAAACAACTGGTCCAGGTTCAGCTGAGTCTGTCCTTGTTCCACCTACCTGTTGTGCTCCAACATCCAAAAAACCCGATAAAACATAGAAGAAAAAGTTGTCGCACAGTTGGCACCGTCATGTCTCCACAGTGTTCCTTCGCTCCTCTGGTTTGCGCGCTTTTTGGAGATCACAGGTCCGCTCGGCTTAGCTCGGCTCGGCTCGGCTCCTGACAGCTGTGTGGTCTGATCGCGGTGCCCTCTGGCCGCAGCAGTTTAAAAGCTCACAACTTTGTGTCTGACGGGGTTTCTCTCAGGTGACCAATCACGCACCGACCCGGTCACCAGCGGACCCGCTTGCGTAAATCCAGCGCACCTTGTTCTGCCTCCCTCTCCATCTGCGCGCAGGAGGCTGAGCACTGGGAACACTGACATCTTTACTTTATTATAGACAGCTGATGTAAACTAATGGTGTCATATTATCCAAAAGCCAAAGATCTGCACAGTTAGGCATCACTTAAAGGCGCTACTGCGTGATTTAGGTGCTTTATATGAAAATTCTGTAAACAAACGTTGAAAATGTGACGGCAAAGGTGCCACAGAAATACTTCAAAACTATTGTAGCGCTGCAATGTTCAAAAGATGTAAAAACTGTGACCTTAACAGCAAAAATGTGATATTTTTTAAAGCTGATTTTAATACAACAAAACTGTATATTTTTCTGTATTCATACAAAAGAAAGAACCAAATGACTATTTTTAAAGATATTGTTTAAAAAAAACAACAACAAAACTTATTTACTGATGTGACCCGTTTTGTTTGTTTGTTTTTCTCCTCCAAGTCAATATAAGTCAGGCTCATTAACTCAAGCCAAGTCAATATAAATTTTTGATTTTTTTCTGTAAACTTTCTAAATATTATCTCAAGCTAAACAGTAAAATCTGTAAAATAACAGATGATTTGCCCTCTTTTTAAAAAAAAAAAATTACAGTTAGCACGTAGATGACCCCTTTTTCTTTGCTTTTACTAGATATTACTAATAAAACACACAAATAAATAAATACAATGACCATTTTTCAATCCTTTATATATATTTTTTCAATGAATTACATTTTCTTGACAATAATGGCAAACATCTGTAAAACAATCAAGTTTTTGTGACTTTAAATGCAATTTTTTAAAAGTTCATTTTACAGTGAAACATCGCAAAACAATCATTTTCAGAGTACAGAGTTTTGATGTGGATATCATTTATAGTTTTGACCTTTTCTTGTTTGCTTGTTTGTTTGTTTTTACAGTTAGCATGTAAATAACATGTTTACTGTGATTTTACAAGGTATTACCTGTAATTTAAGAAAACACAGAATGTCAATGAAATCAGTTTGCATTTTTTCACTCCGTAGCATAATATAGTATAAATATATAACATATACATTTACAGTTCTGGTCTGTTTTTTTTAAGGTTAATGTTTAAATTAATACATTTTTCTATGATTTTACTAGTAAGTGTCTACAATTTAACAAAAAGAAAAATCTGTGTAAGAAAAGAAAAGAATCACAATTTAAAAAAAAACTTTTTCTTTTTTTTTTTTAACCATGAATGATGATGTAAGAGCTGCACTCTCCTCATCTCAGCTGACATCTGGATGAATAATAATGAGAGACTTGATTTGTGTTGTAGGTACAGAGTCCTTCTATGTGCAGTGCTTGATAGAGAGGACAGTCCAATGCAGCAGCCTGCTGTGTTTAAGCAGCTATTTTAAGGCCCATTCTGATAGATGCTTCAAGACATTATGAGAACCAGACCTCTCCCTCCATGGACTGCACCACTTACACCCCCAGCAGCAGAATTATTGTTTCTAAGTGGTGCCGTTTTACAAGAGGTTCCTCAGCATGTTTTCTACCAGCAACCCCGTGATTGAATTTACAAGAGGGAGAAAAAAAAAAAAAGACAGGATTGTCAAAACAGCCGGCAAGACGCAAGAGGTTTACATCCAGGGGAAATAAATGATTTAAATGTACGTTAACTGCTTTACCAAGGTTAAACTACATCATTATAAAGTCGGGTTTGTCTGCTGCTTGTTTTATCTTGTTCTGTACTTTTTTGATGAAGATGCAGGAGGATTTTGATTCTGGTCACAGCTCTGATTGGATGAGGATTGGGTGTTGTTGTGGAACATATGAAAAAATTATATTTTGCACTTTCTGTAAATCTTGTGCCAAGAACACATAATTGGTGTTTTTCCACCCTTGTGTGTAGATACATGATATTCACCTTTATTCTGCTCTTAAGATGTGATTTTTTTTTGTTGTGTTGTCCTACATGGACCCAACAAGTGTAGCCTACTAGCAAAGCAAGTGTTTATCATAGCAGGAAACATATAGGCCGCCATGTGCTCTGGTAGATTAATAAATGTTAGTTAAAACACTGAGCTGTAGTTTTTTTTTCTCATCGTCTTGGTTTTAGGGTTTGGTTATTTAATCTTTACTCTGTCTGGGCTCACGACCCTTCTGAAGGACAAGATGTGAAGGCAGCAATGTGGATTATTTCAAGTACAATATTAGAGAAAAAGGTGGATTTCTCGTAACATTTGGTTTGTATAGTACTTTTTGGAAACAAGCTGTTGTTTTTGTGACATGAGGAGACAAAGGGATATAATTTTTCAATTACAAAATAACTGCAGCACACCCTATAGTGCCCTACTTTTGCCCTTTTAGTCAGTCAGTCACATAAAATTACCAGGACCTACACATAACACTGAAGAGGTGTGTCATCCATGGTAATCCGTCAATACAATGCTTTTAGCATCTCGGTGTGAATCTCATATTCCTCTGGCACCTTGCCATAATGGAATTTTTAACACCCTCTCAGTTGTTTCTTGCAAAGACACTCGTAAGGGAACCCTCACCAAGTCAACGTCACCTTCGCTGTGGTGTTCCTGTCTTTCAGGTTTGCAGGTGTTTCTTTTGCTACTGTACATTGTAAACTCAGTGACGGACAGCAGTACTCCCTCGTTGTCTGGGTAAGATCCTGTGTCCCCTTTCTGACTCAGCTGATAGTCTACCAGAACCACTTGGAAGTCTCTCTCAGGGTCCAGACTCTGCACACTTCTGCTCTTTGCCAAAGCAGCAGAAGAAGCTCAGTCCTTCTGGCACACCAACTGGTCAAACTGGACAAATGCCCTGAGGAACCAGACCACCAAAGCTCGTTGTGTAGCAAGTAATACTTTGTCTAAATAAAGTAGTCACCACCCTTTGGAGGTTTATTGCGCTTCAACATTGAATCAATTTAATTTGTCTGTTTTGACAAGAATTTACAAAAAAAAAAAGTGTCTTTTGGACCAAAGTGAACACAGATTTCTACAAAGTAATGTCAATAAAACAGTATAAACTGTACAATATGAAGATGCTCAAGTATTCATCCTCTTGAAAGTGACTCTTCCATCCATCCATCATCTATACACCGCTTAATCCTCACTAGGGTCATGGGGGGCTGGAGTCTATCCCAGCTGGCTTAAGGTGAAGGCAGGAGACACCCTGGTCAGGTCACGAGTCTATGACAGGGCTACACTTAGAGACAGACAACCAAGCACACTCACATTCACACCTACGGACAATTTAGAATCACCAATTAACCTCAACATGTTTTTGGGGGAGGAAACCAGAGAACCCAGAGAGAACCCACACTGCACGAGGAGAACATGCAAACTCCACGCAGAAAGGGACGCGAACCGCCGACCTTCTCGCTGCGAGGCGACAGTGCTAACCACCGAGCCACCTTGCAGCCCCTGAAAGTGACTCACCTAAATACAAGTGTGTCTCAAATGATAGTAGTATGAAGAAGCCATTATCTGAAAGGTCCAGTCACTGGTGAATCAGTATTCCTGGATAGAACTACACACCATGAAGACAACAGAACACTCCAGGCAACTCTGTGAAAGAGTTTCTGAAAAGCATGAGTCAGGATATGGATACAAGAAAATACGTCACTGAATATATCCCTTGAAGTACAGTTAAATTCCTTATTAAGAAACCTTAATGTGTAAATCTGCCTTAAAAACTGAGTAATCACACAAGAAAGAGACGAGTGAGGGAGGGCACCAAAACACCGATGACTCCTCTGTAGGAGAGACAAGCTTCAGCAGCTGAGATGGGAGGACTCTGAATACAACAAGTCCAAGCTTAAGGGGAGAAAGAAAAGGCCACAGTAGAAAAAAACTCACTAGTTCACTAGAAAGCTTGTTGGAAACTCTGAAAACAACCACACTAACTTGTAACTCCTTCCGAGGAGTCATAGATATCTTGGTGGCCTCCCTCATTGGTGTCTTTCTTGCACTCACTCAGTTTTTGAGTGTGTTTAGTGTGTGTAAATGCCATATTCCTTCCTTTTCTTCATGATGGATTTAACTGTACTCTAAGAGATATTTAGAGACTTGGACATTTTCTTGACTTATCCCCTGACTTACACTTTTAAATAACCATTCCCCAGAGCTGCTTGGAGTGTTCTTCTGTCTTCATGGCACAGTTATAGCCAAGGTTGAAGCACAACATTAGCTGACATGAGCTTAAGGTGGTTACTGCAGGATTGCGTAGCGCATGTTAAATCATCTTATAATATTCCAGCTCATCTTTAAGGTTAACCTGACAATGTCTGCTAATCATTATTTGCTTTCCAAAACCCCAAAAGGCAACTTTCTTCAGCTAGACGACTTATTTCACCATTCGCATCCATGAAAGGTTCTTAAGTTTCTTCACCAACAGCCTTCTGGCCTCAGCAGCCTCTTCAGCGATGGAGTTAAGCATCCTGACTTTAGTGCTTCATGTGGATTCTGTCTGGCTAAATCTGGAACGTCTGCATTAAAATGGGGTCAGTACATGTAAATGATCTCTTATGTATATTTAAATGGAAAGTGTTACTGTGGGGTTCAAAGTCAGGTTTCGTGTGCTGCTCTATGTGAATCAGGCAGATTAACTCTAAGCCTGGTATCTTGTTGTTTTATTCAGCTGATCAGACCTTTTGCCAGGTTGAGTTTTAATGTGGACACTGTATGCTGTTCTGTTGAGGGATTAACTGTTCTGATCAGGTAGCCTGGAGGCCTCACATCCAACACCTGAGAGTAAAGGTGACTCTACAGAATATGTGCTAACAGGACAACATAATTTGTCTTCGCCTTCAAAAACAAAACATACAAAAAGCTTATGATGCAAAATTTGATGGATATAAAGCTTAATATAGAAAATGTCTTGAAATCTGC